TAACTTGAATATGTCCTCTTGTTTGTTTGATCCAGCTTGCACGCTCACACTCCAGATCGCTGATAATGTGACTTTGGTTGGCGGCAGTCGAGGAGAGTGGCAGACTACTAGCGTGATCAAAACTGTGGATGAATCAAATCGTGTTTATCTCCAAGTAAATAAATGATCCACTCCTAAACTTCTGATCAAGAGTACTGAGTTTAGAGAGCTTGTTACTTGTAACCCTCAAAGCATAGGATAAATGGTCCATTGTACAACCATATACTGAATAATGACTCACATTTGATCTTTGAACAGGTCGCTCTGTCGATTAACCCCTTCAGTGCTTTTGTGACCCTGATCCTGCCTAGTGGACTGGTACTGCTGGCTGACCTGGTGAGCTTTGCTCTGCCATTCGAAGGAGGAGAGCGCAACTCTTTTAAGGTCACTTTGGTCCTGAGCTTCACCATGTTCCTCCTCATCCTCAGCGATCACCTGCCTAACGGTGGCTACTGTAGCCACGTGAATATTAAAATCTCCGACAATTAGCGCTTTATCAACAGTACTCTCTCTGTTGTTTAAGAACAGAGAGGTCACTTTGGTCCTGAGCTTCACCATGTTCCTCCTCATCCTCAGCGATCACCTGCCTAACGGTGGCTACTGTAGCCCCCTCCTCCGTAAGTGAAAGAACAGAGACAGAAAAAAATCTGCTCCATTTTGAGAAAAACTTGGTGGTATGCAGTTCTACTGTGCTGTTGTAAAGTGATTCTGACTGTACTTTTGACAGTGTTTAGTCTTAATATTAGACTTTATTAGGATCTAATATCATTAAACCTTATGATAAATCCTACAGAAAAGCGCTCAGGCAGTCGAGGAAATATTATGAAAATGTTTGTATGCTATATGTAAAATTTGAGTAAATGTCTGTTTTGGGGAGTTCAGATCCTCTCTTTCCCTCTATATTTGCACCATGTACGTATAAGGAAAAAATGTTTATACTCCCAACATACATTTAGCTTTTCTAACAGCATGCTTAAAAAAAACCTGGATTTTAATATAGAAAATAAGTAGTCAAAATCACTAGCATCATCATGCATCATGCACAATAAATAATAAGTAGATGGCATTTTCTCTGTTTTCTCTTCTAAAGACTACCACTTCAGTTTCTGTCTGGTGTGTTTGGTCATGAGTATGCTGGCCTCCATAGTGCTAACACGTCTGTCTGTAGACGACAGCTTCTTGGTGTGCAGACGCTCCGCCAAAGTTCATCCATCAAACAGCTCCAAAACAAATGACGGCCTGGATCAGGAGAAAGGTATGAGATGAAACACAGGTTAATTAGCTTTTATAGCCTTTGCTTCAAGTATGAAACAAACAAAAAATGTGCAGCTGTGTAAGGTAATACAGCAAAAAGCCCCAAGAAGCCATTGTTTACAGTGAATTTATAACAGCTAAGGGGCGTTGTTAGGCACGACATGAAGCGGAATGCCTAAAACCCCCTTAGCTGTTAATTGTAAAGCAATAAGCCCCGTGAAGCCGTGGTTTACAGTGAATTTATAACAGCTGTAAACCACAGCTTCACGGGGGGTATTGCTTTTATAAAACGGTTATTCCATATACGTAGTAAGGTTTCACAGAATAAAACAGAGCAAATAAAGTGTAAAGCCCCGTTCACACCAAGCACGATAACTATAAAGATAACTATAAAGATAACGATATTAGCGTCCACACCAGCGAACGCTATCCTCTGTTTATTCTAAGGGCACGTGCGTCTGCCGCTTTAAATTCTTGAGCTTGTTACAGCAGGATGGATTCTGATTGGCTGTCAATTTTTTATCGTTCATCAGCTGGAGAAAAATCGTTTTGAAAGTGATTCCAACTATATAGTTTCTCTTTGTCTTTATCGTTATAGTTGTGGTGTGGACTCTGCTATTCTTTAATATTGAGAACGATTTTTAGAACTATATCTTTATCTTTATAGTTATCGTCCTTGGTGTGAACGGGCCTTAATGATATAAATAAAAACAGTATTCTTCCACCAAACAATGTAGTTCCTCAGAAACAGTTGTGGTTCCAACAAAGTGGTTGCCGAGCAACACACAGAAGTAAACAAAGGTGTACGGTTGTAGAGTAATTTACAACAGCTTTGAACGTGGCTCAACCAATCAGAATCAAGGACCGGAACTATCCATTTTATAATATATGTTTTTAAACAGTAATATGCTTTTTCATATCCTGGCCTAAAGTTAACATCTAAATGCCATTCACAATGCATTGTACTGCTGTAAAAAAAAATTAAGGCCAGGACTTAATTTTATCCATCAGCCATCCATATACAACTACTTAAATAGAAAAATTGACATAAATGATTGACAAAATTATGTTTCAGTAAAATGCGTAAAATCAGGATTAAAACCTTCATCAATCAAGCCTCTTTAGCTCAAATTATACAAAAGTGGTGCAACTGTTTGGTGAATTAAACCCTAATTTTATTTATTTATTTATTTATTTGTTGTGCTAGTGGTGCAGAAATGACACAATTCAGTTTTATTTAGACCAACATTGCAATAAAATAAATGATTTGGTCTGCATCAACAGATACAGGTGTGAGAACAATAAAGTCTGGTGATCTGGCTTCAGAGACGGCTTCACTCCAGAAAATAGTGAACTTTTTGGAGACCATGGATGAAGGAGAAAAGGAGGTGCAGAGTAAAGTGGCATTTGCTTACCTCTTAGACAAATTCTGCTTTGGCTTTTTTATAATCATCTACATACTTTATGCCATAGTTCTTATTACTATCACCCGAACAGACATTTGTAAGGTTAATAATCTAGACTTCTGGGATGAATCCCACCGAGAAGATGCCTACTATGACTACTCATACTCAGACTCAGACTCATACTCATACACAAACACATATCAATAGTCACTTTCACTGCACTGTTGTTTCTCAGATCAGCTCTGTTTTTTTTTCTTTCCTAATTGGTGCATATAATCTGTAGCAAACTTTGCAAAGTAATGACTGAATAATGTACAGGACATCAAATACTGATTTATTAATATTTACAAGAATATCAACAAAATCTTGGGAATCAATACAAAACTAAATACAAAATAGCTCAACTTGTAATTCTCACTGTCTTATTAAATGTGCAAACTTTCTGCATGCTATTGAGATTGAAAAGCAATTTTATTTGTATTAAACCACTATATTCTCAAAGGTATTTTCGTAGCATTAATTATAACAACAAATAGAAGTGTTATTTTAATCGAAACTGAAAATTTTGTCATTCTTAATACATGTTGTGGATCATTTATCAGTGCACATACTTCTAAATAAATACAGAAGCTAAAAGAAGACTTGGTAAGTAATTGGGTAACTGTTTAACTGTATCAGTTATGTGTCTTTAAAGTGCCCCTATTATGGGTAATGAAGGGTTCATATTTTGGTTTTGGGAGTCCCCAACAACAGGTTGTCATGCATGCAAGGTCAAAAAACACTTTCATTGTCTTATAATATGCATTTATTTTTACCTTACTTGCTCAACGACTCCCAAACAATTTGCTCAACGATTCATTTTTCCAAACCCCTCCTTTGCGTGACGCTAATCTGCGTGATTGGTCCCATTTGTCTTATTTTCATTTCATCATGAGCCTGTAATGCCTGATAAAGCAGTGTTTGTGAGCGCAGTGCTGCTTTGTGTACAGCGTTACCGGGGAAACCTATTAAGCTATTTTTACCGCTGCAAAAACGGCACCTAGTGGCAAAGAATGAATTTGCATTTTCATTCAGACCAACCCGAAAAGACCAACAAGTGGGCGGGCAATATGCTAATGTTTCATGTTGACGTCAACATGAAATGGCTTGGGATTCGTTTTCAAAACGACTCGTTTCAGTGATTCAGAGTCGATTCTTTCTTTTGAGAGACAATAACTTTATACACAGTGCACTTTCAGATTCAAAACTTTGCAGGATGTTTTCATTCATTTAGAGCTGTGTTACACACTGCATGAAAGGTAATTTTCAAAAATCCATAATAGGGGCACTTTAAATGTATAAAGTTGATATACCGGTATATATACTTTTCAACTTTTCCACTGACTTGTGAAGTTCAAGAGCTGTACCCTGGCCTATCCTACAGTGGCAGCTACCTTACTTACTGTCAATAAGCAGTATCCAGTCAAACACTTTGGACAGAACATGCTTCAGGCACAATCTAATTCACACAACTCTCCAATGAGGATGTTTTGCAGTTTGGTTTAACCTAACAGAAGACTAACTGTTGTTCTCCAAGCAGCTATCACAACAAAATTAAATGCACTATTGTTCCCTTCATTAACGTCACACACTGTTCTGAATCTTTTGCTGGCCTTTAATTTCATATGAACTTGCTCTGTTTGGTGGAAAGCCTGGAGGTAACTTCCACTGCGCTGCATTTACATACGACTAAACGAGGCAATACTGACATTTGCAGGAAAAGCTTGATTTACTCTCCAGTTGTGTCATTCCAAGCTTAAATTATGAATAGAATAGGACAGTACGAAGCAGTACAATACTGTACTTCGAGGGATCAAACACACATTTGAATAGTGTCAGACTAGACATTTGGTATTTAACCTGACAATAAACACATGTTTAGGATTTAGAAATGTTTAAATCAATTTTAAGAAAATTGATTTAACAACAAAAAAAGGTAGCTGACCCCCAGGATAAACTAACAATTGTTCTCCATCCAGCTGTCCAGATTACGTGCACAATTATTGCTTTTGTTAACATCAGGAACATCTAAAACCTCAGGGGGAAAGACTTTGCGAATGTGGATTGACTCTTCTGAATGTTCTGCATATATTTCCTTTGTGAACCTGTTTGTGCATGTAGATTGGTGTTTTGTTTGGCTGTGAGGCAAATGAAGTGTAAATTTAATATGTACTGGCTCTATTTTGTTTGTCCCACTGTACATAACCCCAGAGGCTCATTGCCTTTAAAAAGCCAAGTGATGCTTGTTCATATAATCCATAAACGGTGACAGCTCATTCGTTCATTTGGCTTGCAAAGGTAAGTTTATCAGTTTTTTAAATGTTTCTTAAGCTACTGTGAATATGGCTACTTAAATGATGCATGTAAAAGAGAATTTTGACTATAAGAGAATATAAGAAAGAGATTTTTTGTGTGTGTGTGTTTATAGGAACTGAAATGCTTCTTCGACACAGGATTTCATTGTTGTTCCTCATCCTTTCAAATCTGTTTGGTAAACACTTTCTCAAGCTGCAAGTGAATGCACTTTCTACTGTAATTTTTACAGTTGAAATCAGTGCATAAGTGCTATGGATTCTCAAATGTTTTTTTAGATTTTTGCCTTAATTAAAAGTAATGTTTCTAACATGTTTATCTGGTCCAACAGTTTTGGCAGATTCATGTGACAGTCGATGTCTGGCAAATTATATAATTGCCAAGAAACTGATAAGTGCACCACATGGCAATAACTGTTCTGTCACAGTAAAAATCACTTCAGTGCAATATGAGACACTGTCATTTGTAAGTATCAGAGTTTTTTTTTCTTTTTGTCTTTGTTTCATGCTTGAAAAAACAAATCGATAATATGAAATGTCACTGTTATCCATTTAAACTACACTGGAAAAAGTCTGTGGTCAGGTAAATGCAGCAAAAAAAAAAGTTTGAGATTGAATTCTACATTTGTATTTCAATTTAATATTTTGAACTAGTGTTCTAATTTAAATAAATGCAACTTCCGATTGTTTTCTATATTTACAATGAATCAAAAAAGAGGCTATAAATCTACTAAAAACGGAATAAATACTACTAAATACTGCTCATAAAATCTCCCAGATGCATTACGTTATTGTGGCAGAGGAAAACGCAGAATAGAAAATACAAACCTTTATTTTTTTTTCTGTGTCACTGATTTTTAAGTGAAGTTTAGCAAGTTACTTTTTGTGCTTTCATAAACATGAAAGTGGTACTTCAGCTTGAATCGATGTAATGGAAATGAAAAACAATTAATAACGCAGTCTTTAATGAAACAAGAGGATGTTGTGTACAACTGTTATATTTAAACGTGTTACACTTAGCAATTAGCATTTGTAAGTAGATGGTATTCTATAATATCAAATGTTTCAAGAATTACTGACTCACTTTTGTTCCATATGACAAGGTATAGATTGTACATACTTTTATGCAATTAAATGCATTTAAAGTAAATGTTATATATACAGTATATATATATATATATTTTTTTTTTCAGTGTTATAATTTTCACATTGCCAAAACTCTGTCACCATTCTGTCATCATCCATATTTAGGATACAAAGAACATGCAAATGAACAGCCGTGTCAAGGTAAACATGGTGAGCAGAAACATTTTTGATTTTGAGAAAAAAAAAAATCCTCATAAGGCTCAAAGCTCATAAACTCTTTCTTAACAAATGTTCACAATAATTTAGTTTTACAATGGGCAAAATGTCAGTGAATGTGTTTTTTGAAGTATATTTTCCTCCACAGATGTGGAACGATCCTGGACTAGCGTGGGATATAAATACATCTAATGCTACAGCAATTATGTTGCCAGTTGACAAAATCTGGACTCCTGGGCTAATTTTGGATAATGCGTAAGTGAACTTACAAGAGATTTTTTTTTGTGGTATGGCATGAATTGTTCTGTTTAGTACATGCAAAAACAGGTTCAGCTTAAAGGGATAGTTCACCCAAAAATTAAAATTTTATGTTTATCTGCTTACCCCCAGGGCATCCAAGATGTAGGTGACTTTGTTTCTTCAGTAGAACACAAATTATGATTTTTAAGTTCAGCCGTTGCAGTCTATCAGTCGTATAATGCATGGCAATGGTAACAAAATCTATGAGAGTAAAAAAACATGCACAGACAAATCCAAATTAAACCCTGCGGCTCGTGACGACACATTGATGTCCTAAAACACAAAACGATCGGTTTGTGCGAGAAACCGAACAGTATTTATATAATTTTTTACCTCTAATACAGCACTATGTCCAACTGCCTTGAGCGCGCGCTCGTAATCCGATGCGTGAGGTGTGTACGCGCTCTGGCGTAGTAAATTGCACTCAATGCAGTTTTTAAATTAACTTCTAAATTATAGGCTACAATTTCTATTTGTTGTTGAAATATAACCATTTACACAGTGGCTGTCATAACTTGCTTCATAAAAGATTTATTTAAATATAGGCCTACATTACAAGATTAAGACGTCACTAACAGGTAAAGCAAAATATATTGAGTATATAAGCCTAGTCTAATATTTCGCGAAATGCTCTTCTCTAGACTTCATTTCTCTGGGGAATATAATTTAAATTCACAGTCATCTAAACTTTAGACAGCAGAAGAAAAACACTGTAAAGTAGCTTTCATCACTGGATGGCTTCCTCTGGTGGTTGTCGACCAATTTGGGTGACGTCATATTCTCTCTTTTCATGCATTCAGAATAGATATAACCGTGCAGCCATACAAAAGTGATGTACTGGTGTTGAGAAATGGAAATGTGGACCATGCTGTTATCTTGTTCATAGCAGTGAGCTGTGAAATCAACCTTTTCACCTACCCCTTTGTGATTGGGGATTGTGCTGTGGCCATCAATGGATGGAGCCAAAGCAGTAAGATGACATTTTTGACTGAATAGTAGACCAATACTGATCATTTGTTCATAACCATGCAAAATGTAAATGATTTATAGGGACAACTTGGAAAGATATTTGAATAACTGCTAAACTGATAAACATTCTTTCTTTTGTGTTGATCTAGGCTGTGGGCTTATACTATTATACCCTAATAACATAACTATGACTGGGAGTGAGCAGAGTGGAGAGTGGCTGACTGAGAATGTGGAAATAACACAAGATTCAGAGTCTCAAAATCACACATATCTCTCGGTATGACATAAAGACCTTATGTCACATGATCTCTGTTTTCGTACTTGTACACAATGCAAAATTTTAGATTTAAAAAATGGAAGTGAATTTAAGAAGGGTACTTTCATCTCAAATGGAACATAATCAGTGATTTAATAAACACCCACTGTTATGTTTGGCTAACATGTTTTACATGTTATAAAATGTGAAATATTAGAATTAATGTTTTACTTACGGTTACTGCCATGTAGAAACAATACATGCGGTTTTTAATGACCTATGGCCAAATGTCAAGTGAAATTTGATTCCTTGTGACGTGAAGTTTCATTTAAATTTACAACTTTCTCCACCATATTTCTGTTAATATTCTGTGAATATTTGTTGATATAAGGCTGCATAGATGGTATATAAATATATAATAATATACGTCAAATAATATTATGGCCTAACATTTCTCAGTCCAATTAAATCAATACAGATCAAATCATTCTGTTTCATTTGGAAATGTGTCACATTAGGGAAGTCAAATGCATTGTAAATGCTGTTTCATCTTTCCTTTGATATTACAAATGATTAAACATATGTAGGACTTTTAAATGTAATTTATTCTTATTCAAAATGTGAGTTTTGAACAAATATTATACATATGTATGTACATCTGACAGTTTTCTACACGCTGCCATTCATTAAAAAGGACCAAATTCAATATACACATCTTGTTAGGAATTCATCTGTAGAGTAAAGACATAAATATTAAATTGATACGTATTCTTTCTTCTGTCAACTGTTTACAGGTAACTTTATCAATCAATCCGTTTAGTGCTGTTGTGACCCTGATCCTGCCCAGTGCATTAATAATGCTGGCTGACCTGGTGAGCTTTGCTCTGCCAGTTCAAGGAGGAGAACGCAACAACCTTAAAGTCACCTTGGTCCTGAGCTTCACCATGTTCCTAGTCATCCTCAACGATCATCTGTCCAGTGGTACAAGCTGTAGCCCTCTCATCCGTAAGTGAAAAAACACAACAGGTCTCTTACACACCTGTCATTAGCTCTGGGCAGTAGTTATAGTGGGATGCAGTACAGTAGAAATTACTTGCGCAAGTTTGCCGATGCAAATGCTTGGTCAACTCACTGAAAGCACTGAAAGCATGTTGGTATGAAACTAACGCTGCTGAGCATTTTTTCCCTCACAGGTCACATTTGCATTTCACTATTGGATCAGATGTAAACTACGGTTACTGTAGGAAGTATGTGTGTTTCAATCTCTAGCATTAATCTTTTAGTTTTATTCACATTTCATTTGGACATTCCATTTGTTTTTGAGAAATCATTGACAAGTCAGCTGAAATGTTATATTGTGACGAATTCCTGAAAGTGATAGGTGAGGTGATGCTTTGTCTTGTTCAGGTTTAGTTGGAAGTGTTCTTTCATAAAAGTCTATGTGTGTTCACTTTGGAGTCTGAGGTAGAACTGTTGTTACCATAGCAGTAGTAAGAAAAACTTTGTGAACAGATAATAGGTCTTGGGGATGTTGTATATTGAGAAGAGGAGGGGCCCCAGCACTGAACCCTGAGGTACACCAGTGGTTAGCTGATGCAACACAGATGTGACAAAATATGAACATTGCTCCAGAAGTCACATAACAATTTCCTAAAAAGGGCAATTTATTTATTATTCATAAAAATTAAAGTACATTAAGGTTTGCATTTGCTAAATTAAGGTTTTTGCTCCAAAGATTACCACTTCTGCTTCTGTCTGGTCAGTCTGGTGCTGAGCATGGTAGTGTCGATAGTCTTGACACGTTTGACATTAGATGACAGCATTCTGCCTTGTAAACGCTCAAAGAACATCAAAACACAAAATGCCAACCTGGGCCAGCATGAAGGTAAGAGGAAAACTAAATACTGCAAACAAAGAGTTAATAGCTTTAGACTTAGTTGTGTGTTAATGCATATATATGGTCTCCATTAGCAGATGCTGGTGTGATTGCAACAACAAAGTCTACTGATCTGGCTTCAGAGGTGGCTTCCCTCCAAAAAATTGTGAACTTTTTGGAGAACATGGATCAAAAGGGACAAGTGGCAAACAGTAATGAGGCTTTTGTAGACCGCTTGGACAAAATCTGTTTCTGTTTCTTTTTGTTCATTGACATCATTTACATCATCATTGTTGTCATTGTCACCAGAACAGATATTTGCAAACCCAAAAAGATGATTATCTGGGATAAAGATGATTATTATTATTATTATTTGGATGTTGTTTTTCCTGAATATTTTAACAACGATACATTTAATGAGGATTAATAAAGAATATATTATGATTTGTTTTTTTGCACATTGGTGGTTTGGATCTACAACATTTCTGTATGTGATGTCCATGAAACAGAATTTGATTTTATATGAAGTTCATGTAAATTCGAGAGGAGTTAATCTAATCCAGTCAATCATGTTCCAAGGGGTCTACAGCATCTTAGCTTCCAATGACGTGCTTCTAGCATCCCTCTTACTTCTCTTCTCCACCTTAGGCCTACATTCATCTTTCTACGTTTTTCTCATGGGGGGATGGGGAGAAGAGAGAATCTAACAGCCCAATCTCAATCTCAATTTAGTCTAAAATTAGCCCAAAATTACTTAAAATCCTGGACAGCATGTTGGCATTACCTATCTTTTGCCCTGATTATTTGATCAAGCACATTTGTGAAATTGTCTTCATGTGAAAATGTTTTATTTTTTCGATTTTTTTTAAATAAAAATATAATTCCATATTTCAATTTACATATTTATCAGCACATCCACAACAAACCAGGGGTGTGTTTCCCAAAAAGCAACTATGGTCGCAAGTTTTGTCGTTACCAATAGAGTCCATTGGAACTAATGACCATAGTTAGCTAACGATAATTTTGGGAAACGCACCCCAGGACAGTACAGAGAACACAGAGAGAATAAACAGGGAAGGAAATTAGAAAAGTAACAAGGAAGAGAAAGAGAGCACATGATACACAGAAACAAACACATCAGAAGACATGTGCTCACACCAACACACAAGACAAGACAGAAAACCACATGGTGAACAATACTTACATCCGCCATGTGCTCAAACAGAAAACTCAAAGTACAAAACTGACAGAAGTGTACGGAGCAAGGATGTCAGGATCCCCACAATTGACCAAGGCTAGACTGAAGTGTCAGAATCCAGACATCCAAAACCAGGATCCTATCACCACAGATCCACTATGAGTATTTGTGATCTGTTTTGTTTTGTGATCAGTCCATCCATTTTCCTGTCCTGTGTAGGGTGATGTTTTGTGATGGGATTTAAAATAAATTATTCTGGTAATGATGTTTAATAGAGGCCAGTATGAATCAAGTCTGATACAATACTCTTGATACCTTGAAAGAATTGTCAATAAACTCATCCAATATTTATCTGCTTCTGTGTGGGTTAATAACATGCTTGTTTTAAAAAGTATAACTAATAGCAGTTGAATAAAGTTATTTTTGTATGGAAAGACATGACAAAAGTACCTAAAATATCCACAACCATAAAACGCACTTACTATAATGTAACTCATATTTAAAAAGAAAAATGTTTCTATTTCTCTTCTGCATTTCACCTCTGCTCTAGCTACTAGCTTATTCCTGGGCCCTCATTTATCAACAGTGTGTGTGCACATGTGTGCATAATGAGTGAGTATAGCACAGTTTCACGCAAAGTGTGTGATCTACCAACTTGTACTTATATGTAGGAATGTGTGTAAATACAAGGACAAAATATAGAACCTTTTCTACACACTGTTGATAAATGAGGCCCCTGACTCTTAAAACATATTAACTCATTTATACGTTGTTTTAATTGGATACAAGAATCTGCTAAGTGAATATATGTAAATGTACATGAAATGTATAATAATAGGCACATATTAATGTAGGTGATAAATTATTAATGTATTTAGATTCAGGTGTAAGTTTTGAATTCTGTCTTGTTAGAGGTTCCTGGTCCTGACTCCAGATGGCAGTATCCTGACATGTACAAGCTCAAAACTGTGTGTGTCAGTCAAGAAAAGCAATAATTCCTGGAGAGAGCAATAAATGATAAATCCCATTAGTTTTAGGAAAATGACACCATGACAACTCCCACAAACACACACTGTCTCAAAGCCTATATATTCCTTTTGGTCAAAATGCATTTTAAATTTCCGTTGGTGTTATCACAAAGCTAAACATTCAGTAATCATTTTTTTCTCGATTTTTTTTTGTCGTATTTTTATATTTTCTCTAGACTGTCACTCTAGAGGTATAACAGTTTGATGTTAGCGTTGCAGCAATAAGAAAAACTTTGTGAACAGATGATTGGTCTTAGCAATGTTGTATGAAGAGGAGGGGCCCAGCACTGAACCCTGAGGTACCCCAGTGGTTATCGGGTGCAACACCGATGTAACAAAATATTAACTATTTCTTATTTTCTTTTCACTGTAAAATTATATTTGTGTGCTTGACAGTGTTGCTTGGCATGAACTAATGGCTTTCAAATTAAATTCTCAATAAAGACACTTACTAAGATGCTAAATAGTTTACTATGAGTAGTTGACAAATACTTTTGGAAAGCTGACCTGTGGTGTGACATGCCACATTCAGTTTCGATTATATATATATATTTTTTTAAATATACTTCTTTTATAGGCAACGTGAACTCAGATTTTATGACCTTTAAAAGAATAGGTTATCCAAATAATGAAAATTTGCTGAAAATTTACTCATTCTCAGGCCATCCCAGATGTAGATGAGTTTGTTTCTTCATGAGAACAGATTTGGAGAAATGTAGCATTACATCACTTGCTCACCAATGAATCCTCTGCAGTGAATGGGTGCCATCAAGAGTCCAAACAGCTGATAAAAAACATCACAATAATCCACAAGTAATCCACACCACTCCAGTCCATCAGTTAGCATCATGTGAAGTGAACAAAACAAATCAATCGTTAAGACGTTATTAATTTAAAACTGTTAAATGTTTTCAGTTAAAATATGAGTCCATAGTCCATAATATCACTTCCTCCAGTGAAAAGGGTCCACTTGTTTAAATTAGGAGAAAAAATATGCATAGATTAAGCATTGTTTACAAGCAAAAACAGTTCTAAATAAATAAAATGGTGGATTGTGATGAAAAATTGACTAATTTAATTGATAAATGACTTAAAAAAAAAAAACTATGATCTAAGATAAATGCTTTATACATATTCCTTTTAATCAAAAGTCTTTGTGTTGATTAAAAAAAAAAGCTTATATGTGTGTCGATACATTAGAGCAGGGAATAACCTGTAATATTTAAAAGGCAAAATAGGGAGAACCGTCTTAAGGCTGTTTGCATTGCCTTTCACTAGAGGAAAATATAAGCGGTATTATATCAAGAAAAATCTGATCAAACTAAGAAAATGTTGAAAATAAATCTAAATACTTTGAAAACAACAATAACAAAAAAAAAGAAAAATCAATTACAGTGAAATGGAAACAATGCTTTTAAATGACTGTAGGTTAATGGCTGTATGACTGTACACGTTGCATCATGGGTGTAATATGCAAAATGTCATAAAAAAAGGTTGGTGACGCATTTTGTCTGATAAAAATGAGGAAATTGCAGCAATGTTGGCACATAAATGTGGATTCATCCAAACTTTGACTGAATTGAACAGCTAGGTATGACTGATGTTTAAATACTTATTTCTTTCTTGGAAATTCAGAGGTTCAACAGGAGACGGCGAGACAAGGATGTAAACAGGAAGTGTAAACCAGAGTAAAAAATAAACTTCAAACAAGGCTTTATTAAAATAAGTAAATAATAAAAGCATAAAAGTCCTAATAATAATGATGTGGATGAAACAACAACATTAATAAAAGTTTAATGGCTCCACACACGCAGAATCTGCTTCTAGAGAATTCAACAGAAAGTTTATAGATATTCACAGATATTAATTTATGCAGATATTCACACAGTTCTGCACATAATCAGGCAGCCCCCCTTATACTTTAGCATATTTTTATTTTTAGTGCTTATTACAGAAACAATTTACTTTAAAAACAATGTACTTAAGTACAAACTGAATGTAATATTTGCAGACACTTAATTGTATGTTATTTACAATAAAATTAAAGTGTTTGGTAGTTTAAGTTTATATTAAATGCAATTAGTTGAACTTAGTGCTTTTTTGATCCACTTTTGATAAGTTGGACTCAGCTGCATCTTTGAAATCACACATTTGTAATGAAGTTTCAATCTAGTGCATTTAAACTATATTAACTTTAATTGTAATTTCAAACAGCACACTAGGTAAAATTAAAATAAAGTACTTTAGTATGTGAGTCAACACATCAAAAGAAGGGTACATCTTTAAATCCTGAAGGAAGATTGAAACATACTGATTTAAAATGTACTTCACAGTAAAACGTTTTAATTAGACATTATTACTGTAACGGGGCAGACAAGACGTGAGACGTGCGGATCCATGTGCAAGCTTTATTCACAGGCGTGGTCAGAAACAGGCATGGGTCAGACAATGGCGAACTGGTATGGAGAAGACAAGGCAAGGGCAATCCGGTAAACTAGCGAGGGTCAGTCGACGGCAAACGGAATCCAACAGGGCGGTGATTATAATGTTATTTAACGGTTGCAAAAGCATTTCTTACAATGTTCTGCTAACTTTTTCACCCAAAATATAACATTATTTGAATGTTTATTTTTAATATTCTACGAATGTTTTCTTTTAATGTTATGACAATGTATATCAAATATTAATAAATTGTAAGAATGTTTTGTCCTAGCATTATAAAACTTAAAAAAAAAACATTTAACAATGTTTAAAAAGCTTATGTTTTATTTATTTTATTTTTTTATTTTTATTCGAAATATTTCCAAATGTGTTAACTAGCCTATATCTGGAAATATCTCGATTCTCAAATATGTGTAAGTAAATGCGTTTTGCACCTTTATAGATTATGCTATTTGATCAATGGTGATGGGCAAAATAGACTAATAGTGTAATCTATTAACTACACATAAAAACCCGACTTTTTACTTAAGTACCAGATATGGGTGTCATGCCATAAAATATTTTTTACTACGACTGACTTTGCATTTAATGTGAATTTAATTGTAATTTACTAATTATAACACTTTCATTTTACAGAGAGCAAAGAACATTTACATTAGCAAAGAACATTTTCATTCAGTCAAGCCAGAGGCACTCTCAAAAACTCCCATTAAAATCACTGAAGCTGTTTACACTGTGAAATGAATATTTTACGTACAT